CACGCTTGAGGTATTCGGCCAATCACAACGCACTGGATAGCTGGCCAATCAGCGTACACCTCACTTTTCAGACTGATGAGTTTTGTAAAAATCGACACGTTTCAGAAAGGCGGGGCATAGAGGAGAAACAATAATGTACAGTATGTGGAAAATAATGTTTTTTGAACCTTAAACCGCATAAACACATTTCATTACACCAAATACACAAAATAATGTTCTTTTTAGCAACATCATATGACCCCTTTAAATCATGGGTTTTCTAGGGAACAAATTAATGAAACATGGACTGTGGCCACAAATTAATAAGTCATAGGAACGAATTAACAAGCTGTCGGTATGAATTACAGGTATATATAGGCTATCTGTCCTGCTCGTGTCTCGCAGCCCTGTCAAAGCGCAATCCCGATATGAAACAATTATTTGGGGAAATTATAATTAAACATGACTTATTACATTTCAGTACAAAAGAAGTTTGTATTGTTTCTGTTTAAAGGTACTTTTAAAGTTTGGATCACAAACTCGTAATTGTATGCAAGTGAATTATTTTCTCAAAAGACCCAGCCTTGTCACCGTCACTCACAGCCGCACGCACCCCAAAATTAAACTGCTTAATCAACCATTGATAGCTTTAATCGATTGCATCTCTTATCGACAATTAATCGATCGTCGATTAATCGTTGACATCCCTACTCAAATTAATAAGTCATAGGAACGAATTAACAAGCTGTCGGTATGAATTACAGGTATATATAGGCTATCTGTCCTGCTCGTGTCCCGCAGCCCTGTCAAAGCGCAATCCCGATATGAAACAATTATTTGGGGAAATTATAATTAAACATGACTTATTACATTTCAGTACAAAAGAAGTTTGTATTGTTTCTGTTTAAAGGTACTTTTAAAGTTTGGATCACAAACTCGTAATTGTATGCAAGTGAATTATTTTCTCAAAAGACCCAGCCTTGTCACCGTCACTCACAGCCGCACGCACCCCAAAATTAAACTGCTTAATCAACCATTGATAGCTTTAATCGATTGCATCTCTTATCGACAATTAATCGATTGAAAATGGTTTATTTTCACCTCATGTAAACATTCTTAAATGTGCGTTCAATGGCTTTTGTTTGCCTTAAACAGATAAAGACAAAAATATTATGACATTAATTTAATGTGTAAAGCACCATTTCTGCAACAGGCAGAAAAAAGAAAACATGAGCAGGTATTTGTACAATATTGGTGTTGCACCAAATAGTCGTCACAAAGTTAAACTTCACTGCAAAACGGTCAAGATTAAAAACATTTTTAAATACATAGAAAAAAAATTAATACAAAGACAGGGCTGTCATTAATAACAATTGCTATAGACTTGTAGTCAATAGTCAAGTGAAATGTTCCAGTGTTGACACCATTTTCTTATAAGAGAACACAATATTATTTAATAGGACAGTTCACCCAAAAATGTGAATTCTGTCATCAGTTACTTACCCTTATACTGTTCCAAACCCGTAAGACTTTCATTCATCTTTGGAACACAAATGAATAGTATTTTTAATGAAATCTCTGTGCTTTCTGTCCCTCCATTGACAGCCTATGCAACTACCATTTCAAGGTCCAGTAAAGTATAGCTGTCAGATTTCATTAAAAAGGATCTTCATTAGTGTTCCAAAAATGAACAAAAGTCTAACAGGATTGAAACAAGATTTTTAATTTAATATTTTGGGTGAACTAACCTCTAATTCATGCTAAATTATCCCAAGTGAAATGTTCCAGTGTTGACACCATTTTCCTACAAGAGAACACAATATTATTTAAAAGGACAGTTCGCCCAAAAAATGTGAATTCTGTCATCAGGTACTCACCCTCGTACCGTTCCAAACCCATAAGATTTCCATTCATCTTTGGAACACAAATGAAGAGTATTTTTTATGAAATCTCTGTGCTTTCTGTCCCTCCATTGACAGCCTATGCAACTACCATTTCAAAGTCCAGTAAAGTATAGCTGTCAGATTTCATTAAAAAGGATCTTCATTAGTGTTCCAAAAATGAACAAAAGTCTCACAGGATTGGAACGAGATTTTTCATATAATATTATCTTTTTTCATATAATTATATCTAAGTTAGATTACTAACCTCTAATTCATGCTAAATTATCGTAGTGTTAAACTACAATTACATGGTTCTGCAAAAATACTTTCTTGTAAAGCATTTGAAAATATGGAACAAAGATTCATGAACTCATGCCTGACATTTCAATGTGAAACTAGGAGAACTATACAATCTGAATTAAGAGCAGGGCTCCAAGTGTTTGTGTGCTTTTAGTATCTTTTGGCATGTGCCAGTTTGAGGAAACTACTTTTTTTTTTTTTTTTCTGCATGTTCAGTCCAAGTTCCATGTTGAGATTTGAAAAAAAGCTCAAATTGTACATGGATTTTCGAAGTTAATTAACATGAGTTACATGAGTCTTGGAAGCGTAGCCGTTTGGTTAATTTCATCTGAATCTTTGACCCTCATTCAGGATTTCTTCACAGGAAGACTGGAAATGACAAGAAATGAAATGAATGAAACTGAACTGAACGATACACTTAAAGGGATTGTTCACAAAAAAATGAAAATTCTGTCATTAATTACTCACCCTCAGGTCGTTCCAAACCCATAAGACCTTCATTCATCTTCAGAACACAAATTAAGATGGTACTCTCGTTAATGGCGGCAAACTCTCCCAGGAGAGAAGAAATTGCTGAATAAAGTTATTTTTGTTTTCTTTGCACACAAAAAGTATGCTCATAGCTTCGTAAAATTACAGTTGAACCACTGATGTCACATGGACCATTTTAATGATGTCTTTATACTTCGTTTCTGTGCCTTGACCGTGGTAGGACCCTTGCTGTCCATGCAGGATCAGAAAGGATTCTCGGATTTCATCAAAAATATCGTAATTTGTGTTGCAAAGATGAACAAAGGTCTTATAGGTTTGGAACGACATGAGGGTGAGTAATTAATGACAGAATTTTCATTTTTGTGGGAAATTTCCCTTTAATTATTTTCAACTAAACAGCAACACAACAAAATGCTTTTTACACAGCATTTCATTATATGTTCCATACATTTGCATGAATTCCAGCATAGGTGCCATCTCTTCTGGATATTTTATGTTTAGAATAAAACGATGAAAATGTGTAGCTCAGCCACAATGGGGGAGAAGATGTAACTTCTTTAATGACAGCAATCTGGAATCACCAATAACATTAAACAAAATAATAAATTACAAAAAATACATCGTAACTTCAGAAAACCACACTGTAAAAAATAAGTGTAATTTTAACTGTAAAATGTTGTAAAAACGCTACGGAAAAAAACTGTTATTCAAACATTGATTCAATCTTTCCTACAAAAACAACTTCAATAAAGTCAACTGAATAAACGACTCAATGACAAACTTTTTTTTTCAGTATTGAACATCCCTAATGGTAAATAAAAACTGTTAATACATAAAACAGAATACAAACCCATGATAAGAATGCAGGGGGTGCTTGAGATGTACAGTACAGCAGCAATTACGACCTGTCATTAGAAAAGAAAACAAAAGAAACACTATGAATGTCATTAACTGCTGTCACATCTGACACATCCCAACTCTTTACATCAGTTAAGACTTTAAATCATTTAAGACTGTCACTCGCCAAAAATGGTCATTTTGACAATTTTGTGTGCTTTTGTGCGTGTAAGTGTGAGAGAGAACTCGATGAGCTACTGGCGCGCTGTCTGAAGCGGCATTCTCTGCGCATGCATGACATGTAACGCTACCGAAATAATTTCTTGTGTGTGTAACAAAAACAAGACAATAAAAAGTCTATACCTACCTTGTTTGGCAGAAAAGGTGATGTGTTATCCTTGAAGAATTCTGCGATGTCAGATCTTCACCTAGTCGTATTTTAATCTCTTTTAAATAAAGTCGTAAATGGTCTCTTCTTTTCTTGACAATTCCTCTGCCAACTTCTGTTGAAAGCATAAAGCGCTCTAAACAGTTGTACCGCACTTCAGATTTAACGTTATCACAGCTGCTTAACATCACCTCAGTAACATGCCAGATGCTTGAAACGACATGCTCAGTAACAAATACACCGCATCAACAACAATTAAAAGTTAATAAACAATTAAAAGTGAGCACATTGTAACACGTACCTCCACGTCGAGTAAGATGTGACGGTATGCTGAAAATGTTGAATACGACGGCTCCAACATTCATTTGCCAAACAAGCCAGACAGCAACTAAGTTAAGTTAACTTCACAGTTTGTTACATTTAACAAAAAATTATTTACCACGGAAGTGTAAAAACGGTTCCCCAAACCCAAAATCCTACTTTAAAATGAAACTTTGACCGAGACTATCTGCATGAGTAATGGCGCCTGCTCTAGCACTGTTTTTGCACCGATAATCGACTGAGCTTCTTGTTCCTACAATGCAAAGCGTAACTCAAAAATACGGAAAAACAACTGTAAAAACCAAATACGGAAAATTCCTTCAAATTATTACGGTATATTGTGCTGTATTTTTACGGACTATTTTTACAGTGTACAGTGTTTCCCACAGACTTACACTCTATGTGTGGTGGCATTTTCGCTGGGGGAAATATATGTATATAATGTAAATATAAAACAGCAGACGGGCTTATTGAAAATGCTAATTCATTCTCTGCCAGTAGGAGGCACTTTTGGAGCAGCAGAACTGATGAACTAACTCTACTTTATCAGGCATTATAGGAAAGATTAAATAAAAATGACATCAAAACTTTTCTGAAGACAATCGGTTCCCTTCAAAGATACATTCATTTAAAAACACCCGTGCCACGTTTTGCCTTTGAAACATGCAGTGCACATGTATATACCACTCTGGACACCCCTCTGGCTATGCCACTGACGATCTTCTTGTTTGTAAACATTCTGAATTGGACTCAAATTAGAGTGGCAAGATTGACATCATCATTGGTAATATTTACAGTTAAGCAGATGAAACTTGCGGTTATGGTAAGGGTTGTGACATTTCTGAAACATGCTCTAAGCGTTTTGCCAATCACAACACACTGGGCCAGCTAACCAATCAGAGCACATTTTATGTTTCGGAAGGAGGGGCTTTATCGAAACAAGAACTAAACAGGGTGTTCGAGACAGACTCGGAAGAGAGGTGCTGCAATAATGTAAAATATATACAAAATATGAACAATCAAGCATGAATAGAATAGCAAAAACTATTCTAGTACACCCCAAAAACCAAATCAAGACTTTAAAAAAAGGACATAATAAGACCCCTTTCAAATTGTTGTTGCGTTAAAAAAAAAAAAAGGTCTATATTAAACACAGTAAAAGCCAGCATTAGCTACTGATTTTTAGGGCTGGACCAGAATATTCAATTATTTTCAATATTCGTTCGGTGGGTTGGCATTCGATTTTCAATTTTGAGGTTCGAATAATCTTTTCTTTTCTTTTTTTTCCTCTCTCGAACACTTGGCATCCCCAGTGAAACGGTTCTAATTCGCGCTTGAATATGAATCGCCCATGAGTGAACGTCATGATTCAGTTCATGTGGAAGAGAAGACAAAAATGCCTAAGACCTCAGCTGTGTGGGAGCACTTTAAATTGAGTGAGGACAAGACAAAGGCAGTGTGCCAAATATGTGATTTGAAACTGGCCTACCACAACAGCACATAAAGTTTGAAAAATCACCCGAGTTCTGTAAGTAGTACGCCTATAGTATATTGTTGGTGTAAAAATACGAGCTGCTTTTATACGCCATGTTAATCAGTAATTTTACACATGATAAAAACGGGCACTTAATTTGCTTGGAAAATACTTGCGAATACAGCAGTCATAAAAAAAACGTACAGTAGCCCAGCCTAATAATAATTTGTCTATATTAAAAGTATTGCTCTTCACAGACCTTTGTGTTTTGTATCACTAGTGCATTGTACGTTCTCGCAGCATATAAGCACTGCCCGCGTGAGGCGTGCCGCTTCCGGCTCGCACTGTTCTTTAGTAGGGCAGCACAATTAATCGAGTTTCTAATCGCGATTACAATTACAGTTGTCACAATTATGTAATCGTTCAAAGCGGCAATTAATTGTTCAAAGTCCACTTATGTTATTCTGTGTGCTTAAGATCTGTTTTTTTTCTTTCTACAAGTTATCTTAAGGGTTTTTCCATTGTTTTAATTTTAGTTTTAATATGACATTATAATACCATGCATACCGTATTGACCCGAATATAAGACGATGTTTTTTTCTTGGAAATACATCTGAAAAAACGCGGTCGTCTTATATTCAGGGTCTAGACTTTGACATGTCAATAATACACCCACAACAATAGGTGGCGCCAAATACGCATAAAACGAGTGTGCCATGAAATACGTAATGTAATGCGTGTTGTAAAGATCGCGAGTAAAAACAAAAGAAAACCTTACAGCTGCATGAGTCGTGACTGTCACGTTAGCCTGATGGGACCAAACTCCCTTTGTGATTTTAAAACGTAAGACAGTACCCAGATTTGAAGACTACAGTAAGATTTAACTTCTACTGTTAATAAGATTTTGGTAGGCTACTATTGGATGGATAGCCTAAATGTCGTCTGATTTGGAGAGTCATCATTCTTGGTCTTCCTTTCTTAAAGGAACAGTTCACACACAAAAAATAATTTACTTGCCCTCATGTCATCCCAAACCTATAAGACTTTTGTCTATCTTTAGAACACAAATGAAGATATTTTAAATTTTCTCTCATAATTTTTTGTTAATCCATTGAAAGCATTTATCATAGCGAACATGTCTGTTCAGAAGGAAATACTGGTCTCCCAGACTTGGAATGGAGGACAAAAATTAAGAGAATAATAAATATATTTATTTGTGTTCCAAAAATTCCAAAAGTTTGTATGGGTTTGGAACAACACGGGGGAGAATAAATTATGACCATTTTTATTTTTTGGTGAACTAACCTTTTAAAGAGCAGCCCTCCACGTATATGAAAATTTGTGAGGTATGTAAATGTCATGTCTGTTTTAATGTTTCAGTAAAGAAGTAGCTTTCTGAAAGCAATATATTTATTTAAACAATATTGCATGCCCTCACACTAGTGCTGCCATTACAGAGACATTAAACATCCACACAAAGTGGTTGAAATTATAAAACAGACTATTTACCTATCCTTTTTGATGTGGATGGTGGATGCTCTGAAAATAGATAGATTTTAATTAAATGTTTTCTTTTTTCAAATGTTTTTCTCTTTTTAGGCCACTGATAAAGAACAGGTGGTGACTGGGATGAATGCTGGTCAAAGAGGAGAATGTCCTTTCCCCCAAACTGATGCAACTGGTTTTAAAGGAGGAGGCTGCCCTGGATAATGTAAAATATGTCACATGCCTTTGCTGTGCTGATGGGGCTTCTTCATGACTACATCAATTATCCTAAAGAGATCATGAAAATTGGCAGCGATGCCTGATCTGTATTCATGGACTATGAAACAAACT